ATCATCGTCCTTCTTGGCTGCTGGCTTCTTGGCTGCCTTGGGCTCCGCAGGCTTGGCAGCGGCAGCAGCAGCGACAGGCTTGGCAGCCTCCTTCTTGGGAGGAACAAATTTCACATCCTCCTTTGCGAGAGCAGAGTCTGGTGCAGCGTACACGTCTGCAATCTTGTCCTGGTTGATCACAGTTTGGAAGTATCGGATGACGTTGGGGTACTGGTTGCGGAAGTCGGGGCCAGCGACGATGGTGAAGAGGAAGCGCAAGTTGGCAACGATGGTCAAGTCAGCCAGGGTGACACGGTGTCCGACGAGGTATGTGTGCTTCTTGATGTGGATGTCTAGGTGGAGCAGGGCGCGCTTGAGGTCGTCCCACAGCTTGGTCTCGAGGGGCTTGCTGTAGGGAGCGCGGCCAGAGGTGATTTGTGCGAGCAGTAGCGTCTTGTTCCAAATCTCGTCGTCTGCGTAGGAGATCCACTGCTCAACCTCGGCGGAAGACTTGGGATCTGAGCCCAGCAGATTGGCGTTGCTCGACAAGCCAGCAACTGAATTTTGCAGAGACCGCAGCGAGGGAGACACGCGTCAGCTGTCTCGCAAGAAGTGCAAATTGCGACAACTCTTCCATCATCTGCCCCGTTTGCACCATCATCCTATCAGCGCATTATGCTACCAAAAGAAAGCCTCGACACACGTTGATTAGGCCAGGGATAACTTGTTGCTCATCTTTTAGGATTTTTGACCAGGCCGGTATTCAAGCCAGCCAGCTCCTCCGTCTTCTCCCATTCCTCCCGCTACGACCAGAGCGAGGGGGGCACCGCTATCACCCTGACTGCAACATCAAGACGCTGCATCGTCACTCACCGTAGCGTGCGATGGCACGGCCTTCGGTCAGCTTGTAGCCATCCTCGCCCAGGAAAGCGGGGCTGCATGAGGGAACGGGGGAAGGGAGGTTGGCAGAGTATGAGCACGCGGTTCGAAATCAAACCCTGTGCGAACACCAGTCGTGAGCACTTACATCTTGCCCTATAGAATGAATTAGATCATGTAAGAAGGGCCAAAGAAGAAAGGTGTGGAAGAAAAGATGAATTGACATTGACGCAAGACTTTCTTAGCGCTGTAAATGAACTCACGTAAGGGAACTTAGCCTTGAACTCGGGCTTCTGAGTGTCCTCTCCGGGCACAGTCTCGATCAGCTCGACCTCCAGACCGTTGTACTTCGCAGCAGCGAGTACCTGATTGCGATTGAGAAGCGATTGGGGATCAGTCAGTAAGCTGATTGCAGCTCTGTATGCTGAGCCATTCTTGGGCAGAGATCGGCGTGTTCCCTCCCTTCTGCTACTCACACGGGTGGCCTTGGGGTTGATAGAACGAGAGTAAATCTTACCGATGGGAGCCATGTTTGCGTCTTCAGATGCTTGGAGTGAAGCTTGTATCTGATTGCTTGCGGGTCGTGAGGGTCACTTTGCAGTCACGATGATGGGGGTTTGGGTGTGTGTGAGAGATGCGGGCGAGGAGCAAAGGTGCTACTGCAACACACTCACGATCCTGACTTGACTGGTTGACTCGAGCTAAGCCTGCCGCTGCGCTGCGCTGTTGATCGCTCGCTCGCTCGCTCATCTTCGCCCAAA